GAGAAATCCGCCCGCGCTTCCCAGGATTCCCGACGGAAAATCACCGCGATGTCCTCTGGGAACGAGGGATTCGGGATTTGGGAATTCGGGATTTGGGAATTCGGGATTTGGGATTTGGGATCGGGAATCCGGGATTTGGGATCGGGAATGGCAGAAATCCGCCCGCGCTTCCCAGGATTCCCGACGGAAAATCACTGCGATGTCCTCTGGGAACGAGGGATTTGGGATTTGGGATTTGGGAATCAGGGATTTGGGATCGGGAATTGGGAATGATGGGGGAAATTGGGAATTTGGGATCGGGAATGGGAGAAATCCGCCCGCGCTTCCCAGGATTCCCGACGGAAAATCACCGCGATGTCCTCTGGGAACGAGGGATTCGGGATTTGGGAATTCGGGATTTGGGAATTCGGGATTTGGGATTTGGGATCGGGAATCCGGGATTTGGGATCGGGAATGGCAGAAATCCGCCCGCGCTTCCCAGGATTCCCGACGGAAAATCACTGCGATGTCCTCTGGGAACGAGGGATTTGGGATTTGGGATTTGGGAATCAGGGATTTGGGATCGGGAATTGGGAATGATGGGGGAAATTGGGAATTTGGGATCGGGAATGGCAGAAATCCGCCCGCGCTTCCCAGGATTCCCGACGGAAAATCACTGCGATGTCCTCTGGGAACGAGGGATTTGGGATTTGGAAATTCGGGATTTGGGAATGAGGGAATTCGGGATTTGGGAATGAGGGAATTCGGGATTTGGGATCGGAAATTCGGGATTTGGGATTGGGAATTCGGGATTTGGAATTGGGAATGATGGGGGAATGAGGGAATTCGGGATTTGGGAATGAGGGAATTCGGGATTTGGGAATGAGGGAATTCGGGATTTGGGAATGAGGGAATTCGGGATTTGGGAATGAGGGAATTCGGGATTTGGGATTGGAAATTCGGGATTTGGGATTGGAAATTCGGGATTTGGGATTGGGAATGATGGGGGAATGAGGGAATTCGGGATTTGGGATCAGGAATTCGGGATTTGGGATCGGAAATTCGGGATTGGGATCGGGAATTGGGGGGTCCAGGTGTGACCCCAGCTGTGCCCAAACCCCTCCCAGCTGTCCCCAGCTGTCCCCAGGTGTGTTCCAGGTGTGTTCCAGACCGGGTTCTAGATCAGGTTCTAGACTCGGTTCTAGAGCGGGTTCTAGACTCGGTTCTAGATCGGGTTCTAGACTCGGTTCTAGATCGGGTTCTAGAGCGGGTTCTAGATTGGGTTCTAGACTCGGTTCTAGATCGGGTTCTAGACTCGGTTCTAGAGCGGGTTCTAGAGCGGGTTCTAGACTCGGTTCTAGATCGGGTTCTAGACTCGGTTCTCGATCGGGTTCTAGATCGGGTTCTAGATTGGGTTCTAGGCTGAGTTCCAGACTGGGTTCCAGGTGTCCCCAGGTGTGTTTTGGGTGTGTTTGGGCGTCCCCAGGGGAGGTTTGGGTGTCCCCAGGTGTGTTTTGGGTGTGTTTTGGTGTCCCCAGGTGTGTTTGGGTGTCCCCAGGTGTCCCCGGTACCTTTCTGCACTTTGTCACAGAGCAGGTAAAGCTCCTCCCCCCCGGTGCAGGGGCCGCTCTCTTTGTTCATGCGGCAAATCCGCAGCTCCGAGGTGTTCGTGGATTCTGGGAAAGAGCCCGCAATTCCTGAATTCCCAAAATTCCCAAATCCCAGAATTCCCAAATTCCCCAAATCCCCAAAATCCCGAATTCCCAAATTCCCCAAATCCCCAAAATCCCGAACCCGGAACCGCCCCCGGAGCTGGGAGAACCTCGGGAATTTCTGGGGGGGCTCACGGGAGATTCCGGGGAGATTTTCGGGATTTTTTCCGGAGATTTTTGGGATTTTTTCCGGGACATTTTTGGGGATTTTTTCGGGAGATTTTCGGGATTTTTTGGGATTTTTTCGGGAGATTTTCGGGATTTTTTCTGGGACATTTTTGGGATTTTTTGGGATATTTTCGGGAGATTTTCGGGATTTTTTGGGATTTTTTGGGATTTTTTCGGGAGATTTTCGGGATTTTTTCGGGGACATTTTTGGGATTTTTGGGGATTTTTTCGGGAGATTTTTGGGATTTTTTCCGGGACATTTTTGGGATTTTTTCGGGAGATTTTCGGGATTTTTTCTGGGACATTTTTGGGATTTTTTGGGCTTTTTTCGGGAGATTTTTGGGATTTTTTCCGGGACATTTTTGGGATTTTTGGGGATTTTTTCGGGAGATTTTTGGGCTTTTTTCCGGAGATTTTTGGGATTTTTTCCGGGACATTTTTGGGATTTTTGGGGATTTTTTCGGGAGATTTT